GGACCGCCAGTCTCCAGGTGAAGGCACAGCCATGAAGTCGTCCTGAAGTCGTCCACAGAGATGAAGACTCCTGTTTGTGCAACCAAAACCTGCAGGATGAAATATGGATCGACGTTTAACAGCTGAAAAGCTGAATAGTTAGGAATAACAGCAATTCAGAGTGCATTAAGTAAATGATATATGTTTGCAGAAATTTTCACGACCAACAAATTCCTGCAGAATTTTTTCTGATTCTTTTTGAGGGTTTTTTTTTTGGTATTCATCATTTCATTTTTTTATGATGTGTTCTTCTGGAACATTGGTTCAGACCTGCTCTTCAGCTCTTCATACAGTTGTTTGTCCCCAGTGAATGATCAGTCCTGAAACTATGTTTTCAAATGCAAAATATGATATATATCTGTACCTTGCACTTCATGCCACATATAGCAGTAGTCCTATTTGAGTGCTCAAGGTTTAAGTACAAGAATAAAAATCATATAGAGGCAACAGTGTTATTGTTTGGAAAATGGACAGTTGCAACAGAAGATGAAAGAGAGGTGATAGGTTTTGCAAAGCCCAGGATGAGGCAATTGCGACAGGAAATGTACTTTTGAATCTATTGTGTGTTAACCAATCAGATACCGTCTTACCTAAAACAACCATCTTGCCTCCTCCACTCACTGAAATACCAGTGTGGTCTCCAACAGAAGCACTGTCAAGATGATCATCTTATGGATTACATTGTTTTTAATTCACCAAGGATGTAAGTGCTTTTTTAAATTTGTCTAAAAATGTTCTTAAGAATTTACCTGTCAAAAAGGTATGTATAACTGTATGTAAAACTGTAAGTTACCACATAAACAAGATTTTATTTTTCTGCTTTCTCTTAATTCAGATACTGTAGTTCCAGTGAAAACTGTTCAGCTTGGTGAACCAGCGACTATAACATGTGCTATACCCAAAGAGCTCAGCAGTAGAGGAGTCCACTGGTACAAGCAGAGCTTTGGGGGAACTCTGAAGTTAATAGTGACAGTATTCAAATCTACAGAACCTACTTTTGGTCCTGAATTTACTAGTTTGAAATTTGACATAGGTGATGATTTTGCCAGCCTGACCATTTTGAAAACAGATCAAGACGATGAGGGAATCTATCACTGTGCAAACACAGAAAGGATTGGAGTTAAATGGAGTGGGACGTATTTGTTGGTAAAAGGTAATAAACTGACATACTTGTAAGTCTGAAATTTTTTTAAACATGTTTCAGAAAATATCTTTATTTTGTAACACACAGGAAACACTCAGAGGACATCAAACTATACAGTTAGTCAGCTGCTAAAAGAATCAAACCCAGTTCGTTTAGGAGACACAATGACTCTTCAGTGTTCAGTCTTTTCTGACTCTGACAAGACATGTCCAGGAGGTCTCAATATTCTCTGGTTCAGAACTGGATCAAATAATGCTCATCCAAACATCATCTACACTGACACAAACAACTATAATGTATGTGAGAAAAATTTTGACCCCCAGGATAGATGTGTTTATCGCTTCTCTAAGAATGTCAGCTCCTCTGATGCTGGGACTTACTACTGTGCTGTGGCCACATGTGGGGAGATATTATTTGGAAATGGAATTACACTGGATGTTCAAGGTAACGTTATCATTGTTCTATCAAATAGAAAATATATGTAAACTTGCACTTTTACGAATAACCATTAGCTTTTTTTTATTACACACTAATCTCATCTTTTTCTTTTCATTTTAATTTTATTGTGATTGCAGAAAGCAGTGTGTGGTCACAGACAGCTAGTAGCGCTTTTTTTTTGCTTTTTGCTGTCTTGGTTATAAGCCTGGTTGTTATTGCTGTCCTCATATACACAATCAAGATAAACAACAGTGATCATTCTAAAGGTAATTTAAATGTGTTGTAGTCCTTTGTGTAATAAAGGCATACATCTTACATTTGTATTAATTATTTCCTCTGTGTTTCATAATCAAGTTGCAGTCCTGAAGAAAGACTTGAGTTTTCAGAAGGTGCAAAAGGTACAGTACTTATGGCTAAAATTATTCTTATATTTTTTTCTGTTTATTTTTTAAAGTTTTGATATATCTGACGTTTTTAATGGCTGTATTTTCCCTAAATAAGGACACATGGATTTTCTCTGCTGTTGTCTTTACCATGATGGAAGTTGACAGAAGTAAAAGAACAGATCCAAAGGCAGCGATGCAGCGGCAGATCTACATGGCTGTCAAGGTTTTTGGGCTGGATTAGGTCTATTTACCATCCGTTGGAATAAAATTAACTGTTTTTGCTGTTCACTTGGTGCTAATAAGTTTTTATGTATTGTCTTTCCATACATATTATTATCAATGTCTAGATGTATTTAGATTGAAAATGTACATATGTGCATACATGTCAAGATCAGTCCTGAATAACAACATTCCTAGTTTTGTCTGGAATGAATGATGGTTAGGTAATTAGGGTGCATACCACATTAAAGTCAAAATGTCAAAAACATAAATCTGTGAAACCAGGGGATTATTATTGTTTGTAATTATATAGTGAATATGCAATCTACCCCAAATGTATTTTTCTGTTTCTGTATGATTTATATGGTGATATCACCATGAATAAGTAAAAAAAATTAACGCATTGTAACCACAATTAAAGAGTAACAGAAAATTGCTGATGTATTCAAACACGGGAAACATCAGAGAAGTTTAAAGATTCCAACATCAGTAAAAGAAGTGATTTTGATCATTGCATTGTCTGGTATAGACAGGATAAATCAATAATCAACAGTGGGCTGTTAAAAGTAAATGTTATTTATCATTGTGCATCATTATTGCTACCATATTTTTGGGACTTTGTTGTAAAAAAATGCCCTAATTCTTATGGTTATTGTATTTCTCAACATTAATACAATTAATAAATGTAATTAATAAATAAAACACCTTCTAGTGCAAATACAGTATTGTTGAACTTCATTTGGCAGTTTTCTAAATGCTTGTTATCACCAGGGCTGGACATTTTAGAATCTATGTCATTAACATTGAAATAGTCATAGTTAACAATGTAGTGGAGTTAGGACCCAAACACAGACTCAGAATGAATCAACAAAAGATGAAGGTCTATTGCAGGAGTGCAGCAAAGACCAAACTGAGGCAACGTGAATCAAACTTGGGCACACAGCAAGTTTTTGATCTGTGAATTAAGATAATTGTATTAACTTAAATCTTCTTATGAATTGATTTTTTTTTAAAGATCATTGCAAAAAAGATAAATATTACCTTTCACAGTCAAGAATGTGTCACTGTGGAATATATGAGAATACCCAATCCCAAAATATGCTCATTTATTCTCTTTACTGGTATTTATGATAGTAAAAAATATCGAGACGCCTCTTTCCTCATTCTGAAATGTGAATGAATTCAACAGAAACGATTTTACAAAGTCAAAAAGATCGGCTAAGGAACCTCTGCAGTGTGAATCAGTGCTTCAGAAGAAAGACAAATAAGAGACAATAAGAGACAAATAGTACAAGGATTAATACATAGCAGCACATCTTTGCAATGGATGTGTTTTAGCATAATTCCAAGAACATCATGATTTTTCTACTAGAAAACAAATCCACTTGCATTGTGTACAAAGGACCTGATTTCAACTTGACATTTAGTTTTTATGAACAAAAATCCACTGAAATGCTTTGAATCGGAGAGACCAGCAATGGTTTTTTAAGATTTATTTGAAAATATTTTAAAATAACAAACTCCAGATTCACAGGCAGGTAATTTGCACAAAGAAAGGAAAATTACAAAGTGGAGACAAAAAGAAAACATCAGAGGACCTGCCAATCACCAGAGATGACAACAATCTTCCACAAAGTAGAAGCATGAGCCAGTCCTTAAATATTGCAAGCTGATGAGTGAATGCTGAACATGTGTAATGTCTAAAAGTCAAGAAGCTTAAGAAAACATTAACTCCACCCAAAGGTGGGATAGTAAGGAAAAGCTAGACCACCTCTCCACCTAAGAAGAGAGGTGGAGCGATGGGCTTCACTTCTGGTTTCCACAGGTAGACTAAAGGGCAGACTGAGAGGAGACAGTGAACCAGAAGGTGCAAGCCAACATACATGGACTGTGTCCCAATTCAGGGTCTGCACGCTTGAATTATGCATTTTAAGTGCGGTTACGTCACCGCTACGCGACGACGGCTGTCCCAATTCGAAGTGCATACTCCAAATGCGCCGTCGATTTCCCCAAATATCAAGCGTGGTCCGGTGCACGCTTCGTGGTCCCATATATCCCACAATTCATAGCGCGGCGGTGGGTGTGGATAATTTTGCCGCAAAATACGGCAGAAGGGAGCAGCTGAAGAGGGTTTTTTTTCCCCAAACTTTATTGAAATGATAAAGCGAACAGTCAGTCATTCCAGTTCAGTTTGTACAGTAGACATACAAGGAAAATAAGAGTAACAATATACAGTACAATGAAATAAGAAGGATAAATAAATAAAGGATAAAAAAGAAAAAAAGAGGGGGGGGAATGTGACAGACTTCATAACAACTTTGTATTTGAAAGTTGTGACAGCTCATTCGTTACACATTTCTGAATGAATTTCAATCAATGATAAACCTTTTTTATTGGAAGTTAATTTAAGAGAGTTTAAGTAATATTCAATTTCAATCAAAAACAAATTAAATGATGGGGTTGAACTGTCAAAAGTACTGAATATGACGTCACTTAT